TTTTATGTATTTATATATTTTATGTTTTTAATGTTTGTTGTGAATTGCCCAGAGTTCCCCCTTTGGGGGGAGATGGGCGGTTGAAAAATTTAATAAATAAATAAATAAATAAACTAAAGAATACAATTTAAGGAGAGGAAGTAGAGGTGTGTGGAGCAAAGGAATGTACACAAATGCAAAGCATTAAAAGAGAAGTCAGGAGCTACCTGTGAAATTTACACTGCCACAACTTTTTAGGAAAGAAAATGGTGGATGGAAATCCAAAAGAAGGGAGGGAAAGCGCTCCCTCAACTTCTTGGCAGCCCTCCTTGACACATCCAGCTCACCGCAATGTGTCACCATACTACAGCCATAACCTGGAATTAATGAACACATGATTAATCACTATGAATGACCAAGGGTGCATTTATTGTCATTTTGAATCAAACTGGGCACTGCAGCTCTCCACCAATTCAGAAAAGTGCTTCTAGGATCAATTCTTCAACCCCATATGGACAAGAATTGTTCTAAGAGCCACTGGAGTATAACACAATTTGGTTCAAAAATTGTGGTAAAGCAATGTTTCCTTATCCACAGTTTTGTTTTTTTAATATTTTAACTGTATATTATAAAAGATAAAATTAATAGAAAAATCAATCACAAAAATGGATTGAAACTTATCCATGGTGTCTGAAAGGAAGTAGAATACATTACATACCAACATGTCACTATGAGAAAAAAGAATGATTTGACTATGTATGTATGTGTGTGTGTAAATATATATATTTATGTGTGTATATACATACATACATACAAACATAGATACACAAACATAGATACATACATACAGAAATAAAGAGACTCATGCAGGAAAAAAAAAAGAAAAAAGAAAATTCTGTGTCCATATACTTGAGGTGGTTTTATACATATATGCTGTAATAGGTGGTGTTGGTTTTTTATGAGCATTTCAAATTCTGTCCTTTGTCTCAGTGTCCCCCCCCTGATTTTTAAGCTCCGATTTTTTTTTCCTTCCAGCAATTTGTAAGTAAATCAACAATGGTATGTTTCAGCCTTTGCTGAATCGTTTTTGCTGTGTCTTTAATAATTTTGTGGAGTCTGCGTGGAACATCTCTGAGCATATAATTACATTTTTCCCAGTTTGATTGCCTCCAAAAGGGAAAGCATTTAAAGGAGAAACTAAGGGTGAAATTGTTGGGCTCAATATTTTCCTTATAATGTTCAATTTTTTATCCAACTTTGTCTGATAGTGTCCACTTTACCAAGCAGACTAGAAACAAAACACGGCCAGATAAACTAATTCTAGTTTATTGTAAAGCTGCATTAACCAAATATTGCAAGTCCAAAAGTACAGTTCTCCTGCCGTCTCCTTTACAGCCCGATAATGTAGGGAGGGTCCCTCCTGAGCCTCTTCTTCCACCCACTATGCAGCTGCGGGCTGTGCTGTCTCTTATCCGAATGATCCCTGGCAGCATCTCTTCCCCCCATTTCCCAGGGTTTTTCCCACACACCAGACAATATGTCCTTCTCAGTTTTTACCCTCTCATGTATCCCAGTACCATGAATACCAGTTAGTGGAGAAGATGCCAGGTCAAGGCATCCCTTGATTGACAGATGATGCCAGCAGGAACTACCAGGCAGCTACCCGAAGGCAGGAAGACAGTCCAGAATATTCAGACCCAGAGGGCTTCTGGGAGAAGATCTTTGCAATTGCCAACATTAACCTCTCTTGGCTGTGCCCAGCTGAGGGGAAGGAGCTGGAGGATTAAGGGGATTGAGTGTAAAGTAATGTAGAAGGAATGAAAAAGGAGCAACGGAGAGAGTGTTGGCGATACTGAGAGAATGAAAGGAGATTGCATAATAATATACTGTATGAAGGAAGAATTTTAGGCAATGAACCACTATTTCTACCTCTCATTAAATCGTTATTATTTTTTTTAAACCCTACAGTTCATTCTACTGCCAAGGAATTTCCTTCTTCTCTCCCACCCAAATGCTAAACAGGTACCCCATGGCTTAATCGAAAATTAGATGTGGGCTTCCACTTGCTGTGATAGATATTTACAGGTTTCTTCTCATTCCAATTGCACAAATTCAACCTTCTGTGACTGAATCAACTTGAAGAGCTGCTCAGAGAAAGAGAAGGTTCTTGCTTGGCTTGAGATTAACTTCCTCTCACTGTGCTTCCTGCACAGTAATAGCGTCCCGTGTCCTCTGGCTTCAGGTTATTCATTTGCAAATAGAGTTGGCTCTTGGCATTGTCCCTGGAGATGGTGAAGCGTCCTTTGACTTTGTCTGAATAGAATTTTCCACTGGAATCAGTATATATGTGCGCAACCCATTCCAGTCCTTTCCCTGGATACTGTTTCACCCAGCTCATGCCATAGCTGCTGAAGGTGAATCCAGAGCCTTGGCAGGAGAGATGGAGGGAATCTCCAGGTCTTCTCACATCCCCTCCAGACTCCACCAACTGGACCTCAGATTGGATACCTAGAAAGAAAGATATTTTAATGAGGTCTCCAGCATACAAGAAACAAAAAAATTTGGATACCTAGAAAGAAAGATATTTTAATGAGGTCTCCAGCATACAAGAAACAAAAAAATTTGGATACCTAGAAAGAAAGATATTTTAATGAGGTCTCCAGCATACAAGAAACAAAAAAATGTGAGGAAATTCAACAGAAAGGAAAGAATTACCTCTCAAGATCACTAGTAAACACACCAAGGTTAGCCACATGATCACTTTTGCTCCCTCTAATGAATGTTGAGAATTGAGAGGAGAGGATTCAGGAAAGTGCACAAACTTTGTGTTGGTGGGTGTAGCCTATCACGGGAAACCAACTGGCTCCTTTAAACAGGAAATGATGCCCTGATTTACATACTGTTTGGGATAAAAGAGCCTTTAAGGGCATTGATGACATAGATTTCCTTGCAGACATCATATACGTTTGATTTTTACATAAATTTGCAGTACTAAGAACAGCCAACTCAGGTTTTAGTTTTTCTCCTCCTTCCTTCCTTCGTTCCTTCCTCCCTCCCTCCCTTCCTTCTTTTCTCTGATGACATAGGATTACAGCAGGTTTACATTAGCATAATTAAAACAAACACTTGCAAACTTTCACCACTTCTCAAAAGTGATTCAAGGTATCAGAGAAAAAATCTGGGCAACGACTTTTTGAAAAAGACATGTTAGAGATAGAACATGAAAGGAACAGCACATCTGAGATCAGGACATTTTCTCCACCATTGTTCCCCTGACCATGTTCTTTTGAAGGAACCCAGAACAAGTGAACAGAGACCAAACCATGAGGCACAGTTTGTCAGTCTCAGTTGGAATTACACTTACATATCCAAGTCACAAAGTCGGAATGAAAGAAATCACAGGCAACGCAGAAATAGCTGGACCCTCTGGTGTCTATTTTGTTTCTCACTTTGGTTTTTACCTTGGCAGTTGTATGGATTTATGTACTAGTTGCTTTTTGGTGGCTATTTTGAGTGGTGTTAACTGCCCAGAGTTGATTCTGCAAGATGGGCAGCCGTACACATTTAAATAATAATACTAATACTTCTAAGAAGAATGCTAGCATGTACACTCTCTCTGTGGACTGAGAAGTACTTTTGAATCACATTGTATTCTTCCAAAAATTCAGTTTGCTCTGTATTTAGCAATGCACATCTGTTGTCAACTCAGACATGGCTTCATGGTAAGGGTTGTAGCCAGTTGAGATGTGAAATTTTCTTGAGATCTTTTCAGCGAACTTTTGAGACCATCAAAAGGAGACAATGTCTATAGATGCTTGATTTATTTCCCCACCCCACCCTCATCCCGTGCATAGGCAATGCAATTAATGTGACCACACTGCCCCCTGCTATAGAAGGTGAGGATGACGGGTATCTACCTTGTTCTCCAGGATGGCAAATGAGGCTGAGAAGAAATGAATGATCTTCAGGAGATCTAAAGCAGGTCTAGAGAGAAATCTAAAGCTGCTGTTTTATTACCTGACTGGAAATTCCTTTTCAAGTGTTACTCTTCAACAGATTGTATTTTCTGGGTTGGGGGATTTTTGCACACCTCCAACCAAAAGAGGCTCTTCTGGCCAGATTGAGGCCAGGCTGGGCTGTTCTTCCTTCATCCTAGGTTTAGTCTCAGCAGACAGGGTTAGATGGGTTTGCGATTTATCAAAATCTACTCACTGACCATATCTCAAAGACAGTAAAGCTACCATGCTGACCTAGTCAGAAGGGATAAATAATCAGAAGGTCACCCAGAGGGGTTTATCAAAGACCTTCCAAGGTCATGTGATAATTCACACAGTGTTTGGCTTTTCCTTTGTCTGGACTTTGAAATGTAATAGTCCAAAGAGTTATTGGCTGTGGTTCTGCTTTTGTTCAGGACTGCTCAGAAAGCTGCCAATGGTTTCCTGGGATCCCGGTGTACACTATAGTTGTGTGGGTGCTTAATAAATGTTTGTTGTATCTTCAAGTGACTTAGTTGCTTTAGGTGAGCCAGGTTTTGGCCACAATGGTTTGGAGCCATTTTGCAAATGAGAAGGATAAGAGGGGGGGAAGTAAATCCCTTGCAGCTCCTGGCACTTACTCAGGGTTGTGCTTTTTGCCCCTGCCTTTTTCCACTATGGCCCTGAACCCCTTTTGAAGATACACTTGGAGGGATTTTAATTTGGCCAGGGAATGAGTGAATGAATGAATGAATGAATGAGTGAATGAATGAATGAATGAATGAATGAATGAATGAATGAATGAATATGTGGACCATGAGAGATTCTGCAAAGTTGAACCCAGGGTAGGTGTAGTTTGGAACTTGAGGGCTGACCCTGTGACAGGGGATGGGTAACGGGCCATGTACTTGTTTCGAATTATGATGGCTGACTCAGCAAAGGTGAGTAACGGGCTATTGTAAGTCAATGGGAGTATATGTAACCCATGAGTTTTCTTTTTGTAAACATTTGTATATATTTGGGTGTGTATTTCTCAAGGGAAGTGGGTGATACGCTGCTTGCTTAGTTTCAGCATGTTTGCTTGTGTGGGTACTTGGAAGTTTCTGTTAATGTCACCTTTGCAGTCAAGAAACTAAGGGGGATCCCTTCTTAGATGTTTGCTGTGGCTCCATTCCGACTGTGGGCTCAGCTGCCTCTTATCTGACCATTGTCCTTGGTGTGGCTCTTCCCCTGTCTCCGAAGGTCATTCCCACAGACCATTACACCCTTCCACTGACTGTTACCCAAAGGCACGAAAACAATCCAAAGTATGCAGACCTCGAGGGCTTCTGGGAGAAGATCTTTGCAATTGCTGAAATTAGGCTTCCTTGGCTATGCCCAGCTGAGAGGAAGGAACTGCAGGATTAAGGGGATTCCATGTAAAGTAATGTAGAAGGAATGAAAAAGGAGCAACGTAGAGAGTGTTGGTGATATTGAGAGAATGAAAGGGGATTGGATAATAATATGTGAAGGAAGAATTTTAGTTAATGAACCACTATTTCTCCTCTAAAGAAGAAATATATATATATATAAAACACTGCAGTAGTTTATTCTACTCTAAATATATATATAAAACACTGCAGTTTATTCTACTGCCAAGGACTTTCCTTCTTCTCTCCCACCCAAATGCTAAACAGGTACCCCATGGTTTAATCGAAAATTAAATGTGGGCTCCCACTTGCTGTGATAGATATTTACAGGCTGCTTCTCATTCCAGTTGCACAAATTCAACCTTCTGTGACAGGATGCACTTGAAGGGCTGCTTAGAGGAAAAGAAGGTTCTTGCTTGGCTTGAGATTTGCTTCCTCTCACTGTGTCTCCTGCACAGTAATAGAGTCCTGAGTCCTCTGGCTTCAAGTTGTTCATTTGCAAATAGAGTTGGCTCTTGGCATTGTCCCTGGAGATGGTGAAGCACCCTTTGACTTTGTCTGAGTAGTATTTATTACTGGAATCATACCATATGACTGCCACCCATTCCAGTCCTTTCCCAGGATACTGTCTCACCCAGCTCATGTGGTAGCTGCTGAAGGTGAATCCAGAGCCTTGGCAGGAGAGACGGAGGGAATCTCCAGGTCTTCTCACATCCCCTCCAGACTCCACTAACTGAACCTCTGACTGGAGACCTAGAAAGAAATGTGTTTCAATCATCTCTCTAGTATACAAGAATTAAAATGAAAAGAACCAGTACATTTAGGAAATAATTACCTCTGAGGACTGCTAGTAAGGACATCAGGTATAGCCACAGGATCATTTTTGCTCCCTCAAATGAATGGAGGGAATTGGCAGGAGACAATTCAGTAAAGTGCCCAAACTTTGTCTTGGTGAGTGTAGCCTGAGAAGGGACACCATGGGGCTCCTTTAAAGAGGAAATTGTGCTCTGATTTACATATTGCTTGGGATAAAAGAGTCCCTCAATGCATTAACTTACACAAGAAGCAACAGGTAGAAATAATTAAACTGAGGAATGTTGGTGATATTGAGTTAATTGGAGCAGGTTTACTTTGGAATAAGTAAAACAAAGATTTGAAAATGTCAACAGTTGTCAAAAATAATTCAAGGTAATAGACAATAAACTTAAGGTTAACGCCTTCTCTAAGGAAACCCGTTAGAGATTGGATATAAAAGGCTGGCACATCTGAGTTAGGAAGTTTGCTACAAGGTTGTTTCCTTAACATTTGTTTGTTTGTTTATTTATATTTATATTCTTCTGTGAGTTAATAGGAGAAATCCAGGTTTACATTGTAGTAATTAAAGCAGAGACTTGCCAAATTTCACCTCTTATTAAAGACTCCTGAGAATACCATGGACAGACAAGAAAATAAACAAATGGATCATTGAAGAAATTAACCCAGAGGTCCTAAGGAACAAATGACCAGGCCCAAATTATCCTATTTTAAACACATTATGTGAAGATCCAGCTCTTTTGAGAAGGCTCTAATGCTGGGAAAGGTGTGGGGAGGGGGCGGGGGGGGAGAGGACAAGCAGCAGCAAGATGAATGGACCCAGTTATGACAGCCTTGCAGGGTCAACCAGACAGGAATCACAACCAGATGAGCTCATTCTACTTTATTCTAATGCTACATTGACAGAATCTTGCAAGTCTGAAAGTCCAATTCTCTCCCCCACCCCGTATCTTTTACAGCCTGAGAAATTGGGGAGGGTCTCTTCTGAAACTCTTGCCCCACCCATGATCCAGCTGCAGGCTATGCTATCTGCACCATTCCCACACACCATTACAGTTACAGTGCTGATTTGATCACCACTGGGAGACCTGAAAGAAGAGGTTGGTGTAGATTGGCATAATCAATCTATGGGGCACTGGGAATCAAAAATAACTTGATATTACATAATCAATCTCTATCCTTTTATAATCCTCTTTATAGAGTCCTGTTAGGATTTTCTCATGGGAAGAAATGCATCTCGCTATCTTCAAACAATATGTTTTGACTACAAAAACAGGCCATCTGCAGTTATTATTGTTAGTTTGCACGTACAGTGGTATCTCTACTTACGAACTTAATCCATTCCGTGACTCTGATCGCAAGTCGAGTTGGTCACAAGTCAAAGTAAATTTTCCCATAAGGTTCAATGTAATTACCATTAATCCGTTCCGGCATCCGCGGACCACGCATCAGGGACGGAAAAATGGCTGCGGACCATGTGGAACGGGCGGAAAAACGGCCACGGACCATGTGGAATGGGCGGAAAAATGGCCGCGGACCACATGGAATGGGTGGAAAATGGCTGCGGACCACGTGGCACGTGCGGAAATATGGCCGCGGACTACGTGGAATGGGCGGAAAATGGCGGCAGATCTGGTTCATAAGTCGAGGCGAGTTCGTAAGTACAGGTAAATTTTTGGGGCCGGAGCTGGTCGTATCTCGAAATTTTTGTAAGTAGGGGCATTCGTAAGTAGAGGTACCACTGTATACTGCTATTTACTGCCACCTATTGGTGTTTGTATGCTAGTTACCCAAGGGGAGGTGCATAGTGTCAATAAAGTGTGGGTGAGTACATGTCTCACTGCTCAGTAGGATGTTAGCCATCATGTAATCAGTTTTATAGGTTATGTAGTAGTAACTAATAACCAAGTAGTATACATCTTCTTTGAGAGCTTTTGGCTAGAGACTTTGTTAAACTTGTGTCGTGGATAAGTCTTGGATGCCACATATAAGAGAAGAAGTGATTTTTTTCTATGTTTTGCATAAAACTTGTATTTTATGTAGTTTTTATTTTTCTCAATAAACAACCAGATATATTTTATATTTTCTGGCTGGATTTCTTTGGAGAA